TGCCTGTTCTGCTCCCCACTCTGTCTCTGGTGAAGCCTCTCACCGCCCCTGAGCCTCTGGCCTGTACCTCAGTTCTGTATGCACAAATAAATAAATCTCTTTAAAAAAAATTTTTTTTAAAAGTAATCAAGTTGAATTTTAATCTCATTTATCAAGCTAAACTCTTAAGTGAAATAAACCTATACAAAGGAAAAAAATTAAAAATCAGTTGCATCAGTATATTAAGAAAAGTATCTATAAAACAGAAACATACTATCTGTTATATATAAAAATGTCTTTCACATCCATAAGAAAGTAGTAACTATTACAGATAGTAAATGAAACAGTTTATAAGAGAATTAAGCCAAAACAATTCATAAAAGAAACAAAGGCAAAATAAGTGAGTAAGAAAAATACTTTGCCTTAATGATACTTAAAGAGATGAAATTTAAAATGAAGCATGGTTTTCCACTTATTAAATTAATGAAGATTAAAGCCTTGATGAAGATTTTAGGAAATAGACATTAATATGCTCTTCCAATAGGCATAAATCATATATTTTCAGGAAACTACTTGGATAGCATATCAAGAACTTTACACAATTTTGGTGGTGTACTTTCAGTGCAAATTGCTCCTAAATAAGATATGGATATACATTTATATATGTGCATTCATAAAAAATATTACTTATGCAAGAGTAAAAACAAAATCAGGAAATGGTTAAATTGTGACAATCTTTTAAAATTATGCAAAAGTTAAAAATTATATATTTATAATAAGGGACATGCTTATCATATAAATGGAGTAAGGCTAGGATAAAAGAATACCCAAAATTTGTGTTAGAAATTGTGGACATGAATGCATAGATAAAAAAACTGGAAAATTACAAGATTGAGAGTACATGTGTGTAAGAATGAGCATTTTCAGCAGTCTTTCATTTGTAACCTCATATCCTTTTGCTTAATAGTCCTGCAGCTGTAGTTTTCTTATAGCTTATTTATTTACTTGGTCATTTTTATATGGAATGTTAGAAAAAATAATGACATTTTAAAAGTAAGTTGACATTTAAAGTTTATCATTTAAAGGACACTCTCTCTTGCATTAAGTCAGAACCTATACTCCCATACAATAATGTAGTGTTATATACCATTGTTACCTTAATTTAAAAAAAATAAAGTAAAACTAAATTGGAGGGTAAAAGTAATTGCTATATTTTTGATTTTTAAACAATGCCTATATCTATATAGTTTTTCATCTATTGATAATAAGAAAATATCCTAAAATTTTTATTAAAATTTCTGTTCTAGTTTAATATACATCTTATATCTTAAAGAAGGAAGTATAGTGGATTTTTTTCTATTAAAAATATGAGGAAAAACTTTTTTTTCCCATTGTATTTTTTTATGTATATAATAGTTTGTTTACATCATTTTGTGCATTATTCCATCTCATTTGCAATCCACTTGGGCTTCCCATCACCAAATCACCCATGTGTCATCACCACAGTCCAGTGCATTTCCCTCCTCCCGCTGTTTTTGACCCCATGCCCCACTCCACCCCCACAAAATGTCTCTGGTATATAGCTGTTCATCATTATCATTATTTTCTCACCTGTTGCATTATATCTTGCTATGAGAGAAACCATCCAGTACTTGAGGAAAAAAACTTTTAAAAGTTAAATTGATTTTGTTGAAAAACTTCTATTGTGCTATTCTTGTCTTTTTCTTTTATTTCAAAATTACAGTGAATTTCAATATTCATCTGTATAAGTACCCAGCAAGAAGTAATCTAGATTTTTTTTAATGTTAAGTAATTACTTACAAGACTTTTGATACTCTTTTAATCTATACTAAAAGGGTAGATAAAAAAGCACTGCTTTATTACAGCTTAAATTATACAATTTAATTCTTCAAATATGATAACATTAATTTTTTTTCAGGTAGAAGTTTATCTGCTGCTGTTATGCCCACCTTTTAAATCAAATTTAAAAGTGCTTTTTTCCATTTCTCAGAGACTCACCAGCAATAGCCTCAGCAATAAATTTATATGGCTTTGAATTAAAACTATAGAACTTAATGGAGATATTTAGGACATTTCACTGATAAAACTTACCTGTGACTAGCTGAAAGTAACATCCCTCTGTACTAGTTTCTTCAGTCATTAAATTGTTGAGGCATTCAATCGTAAACCACTGATGTCCACTCTGATGACAGTGGACACAAAATGATGGAAACATTTATTAGGAATGGATAAATATCTTGAAGAACTTGCAGGGCTTAGTGGGGATGTGATATTGTACAGAAAATTCTGTGATAGGATGGAACACACAAGAACTATGCAGGTTCAGAAGAGGGAGAGATTTCTTCTAAGAAAGAAAAGGGATTGAGAAATGAAGGGATCATGGTACGAAAGAAGGCATTTATATGTCTGTGACCCTTGAAAAGCAGGTTAAAAGAGCCTTTGGCATTGTGCTATCTTCATTGCTCACTGTTGAGTAGTTTGCCTCTCTCCCTTAGATATTCTGAAAATTCTCAGATGGAACTTGGTATGCACTTGTTATATCTTTCACTGATCAAGATTCATTTTCATTTAGTATCTGTGCAGAATAATTAATGTTGCTTTTACTATTCCATTTGAAATTCTTTAGTTTACAGAATTGGTAATACAAAGGTTTTAAACCAGCATACTACTGAATTTTGTTTCATCTAGTTAAAAAAAACCCATGTATTATTGATGTGAAGAGTGAAAGCCATGAACTATTAAAAAATCTTGTTATTCATACATCATCTTTTTATACTAAGTCCTTAGAATTAAGTAGTGAATAAAACAGATATAGTCTCTGCCCTCTTGGCACTTAGCAGTGAAGAGCAAATCATGTAAGTATTGTTAAATAAACATAGCATAGATTTATTAAATGTAAAAAAAAAAATCTGTACCAAGTAACTTCTGAATTTATGCTTGTATTTTTCAATATGAGTGTTACTTATAAGTGAACACCCTAATGTTCATCATTATTTTAGAAAATGTTTTTTTTTCTGTGTGTACCAACTGGGATGTGATTATGTCCAAGGAAAGAATGATAAAGAAGTCCTGTGTGTAGAGGATTGTATATGTACCTTACTACTTTATTAAGGAAAGGGGGGGAAACATTTGCTGAGTTTCCATTAAGTGACAGCAGTATGTTGGGCATTGTATATAAAGTAGGGATGGAGTTATCAAACAAGAAACAAGGCATTAATAGAGAAAGAAAAACCTTTAATGGTTGCTCTTCTCAGTTCTTTTTTTTTTTTTTTTCCTCCCTGTAAGATTCTTCTTGATGAATTATCTTCTACTAAACACTGGGCATCTATGCACGTTTCAGACCACAGTGGATTTCACTACCGTCAGTTTTTGTTAAAGTCTTTGATTAGCCAAAATGTGATAGATGGTTCTGTATTGGAGCAAAGCCTTTTGAGAAGTGAGCCGGCCTTAGTTCTTCCTAAAGATGAAACAGCAGCAGCTTCGACAGAAGAACCAAGGATAAATCTTCCCCATCTTCTAGAAGAAGAAGTTGAATTCAGCACTGATCTTATTGATTCCTATCCAGGGCATGAAACCCTTTGGTGTCATAGGTAAGAACAAGGAAAATCCATTTCCTGCATGAAACTGCCTATTCTTATGAGATCTACAGAAGGCATTTTTATCTTCCTCCTGCTGCTTGGGTAAAGATGCTAATTTGATTGTAGACCTTCACTGAATGAGTTTGGAAGAGTTTGTGCTACACTATCCTCCTCACAATCATCAGTATGAAGTTCCTCACACAGATCTTTACCTGTGGCATAGGATGTTCATATCCAATCTTGATGGCACAATGGAATATTTTGTATTACTTCCAAACTAAAATCAAAAGTTTCTGGAATGAGATCCTGATACTTAGTATTTCTGGGATAGAGCAGTGCCATATTGACAGCTAAATCTGATAAACAGTTAGGTTTGGGACCATTGATTAGGCCATAAGAAATAATTAGTCCTTATTGTTTTAAATTACTATTGTCTGAAAATTAATTTACTTTATGTATAATATTTTGATATTTTAAGTATACTTTGGGAATGGAAGGTTGGTAGGAAGGCATGAAAGAGGATTAGCATCCTCATAATCTTGAGTTCTGAGTACATTTAGTAATAAAACAAATTTCATGTGGGAATGAAGTCCCAATATGGGTATTCCCTTGATTTACTTTCGGTCATCTTCTAGTTGGAGGTATCTTCATTAATGTAAATAAAATTCAGATTGTATTTCAGGTGCTAGAATTCTATTTGTAGAGAAAAGTCTTTGTTTAGGGAGGCAGTAGGCATTTTAAATACTTGTATATATTTTTTAAATTACTGAAATGTGTCCCATTTCTAGTATAAATATACTTAAAAGAGAGAAGGTAGTCACCCACCTATCTTTGACACCTTAATAATTTTCTTTTTCTCTTAAAAATAAGCAACTTTATTTCAAGAGAGGAGCTAAATCTTGCATGCTATCCTGTTATTACACTTTTTGTTTATTACATTTAGGCATGTTAATAGCAAGACTCAGAAAATCTAAAAAGTTTTATTTGTAAACACAAATAAAACAGCTCGATTAATGGAACAGAAATTTTCTTTGTTCCTATAGACATTAGTTGGAGTTTCGACTGAGGAGAAGAGACAATTAGGATGACATATAATACACAGGTTGATTTTCTCCTATTGATTGAGTGTCCTTAGTCAGTTTATCCTTTAAGCTTCATCCTTTATAAAATGGATGCATTATATTTTGTGTCTACTCCAGACTATGCTGAGATAATGGATAAAATTGTCTTTTTAAAGTAAAGAGGTAAAAAAATCACTTCTTAAAATAGGAGAGATGAGGGCCCTCCCTGGTAACACAATGGGTTAGGGCACAGTACTGCAAGCTGGCCATAACTGCTTCAGTGCTAGTTCAGTCCCTCCCATGGGGAGGTGACTTACATGGGGCGGCAGATCTCTCCTGACCCACCCGCTGCTCCCCTCAGCAGTGTACTTCATTGATCTGCCTGTTCTGCTCCCCACTCTGTCTCTGGTGAAGCCTCTCACCACCCTTGGACCTCTGACTTATACCCCAGTTCTGTATGAATAAATAAATCTTTTTTAAAAATCTTTAAAAAAAAAAAAAGAGAATCATCAACCTAGAGCCTTCGTAGTTCTTATTGTTGATGTACACCCCACTGAGTCAAAATGTTTGCAGAATAAGCATAAGATCTTTTATTTTATTTTTTTTTAAGATTTATTTATTCATTCATACAGAACTGGGGTACAGGCCAGAGATGCGGAGGGTGAGAGGATTCACCAGAAACAGAGTGGGGAGCAGAACAGGCAGATCGACAAAAGACACTGCTGAGGGGAGCAGCGGGTGGGTCAGGAGAGGTCTGCCGCGCCATGTGGATCTCCTCCGAGGCAGGCGGGGATCGAACTCATGTGGAATTGGCTTAAGCTTCTTAGTGCAGTGCTTTAACCCGCTGTGCCACCAGGGAGGGCCAGATCTTTTATTTTTTATAAATAAATATGAGACAGCTCAGTTAGTTTCTAGATAATACCAACTATAGCAGATCAGTTCTTATTAAGGATAGTATTGGATAGAGGCATTATATTAAGCCTCTGAACATGCCATTTAATTACTCATGTTTTTGAGTCACTTCCTTTTAGCATATCAATAAGATTAACATTTGGTTTGGTTTTGTATTTTAATTTATGGCAGAGGTTGAACTAAGTTACCTATTTCTAGTTTCATATTATAGTCAAAGAGCAAGAACTCAGAGTGATTGTCATCATCTCAGTCAATGCTACTAAAAACCTTGTTTGGGTGGAGGTCAGATGTAGTAGTCTATCTCACAAGTAAAAAGTAAGCTGGATTTAAAAGGCCTAGCCAACTACCTAGAGACCTTGTTATAGCTGTCCTTTCTCTTTCCCTCTGACAACTCTGGATTACAAAGTGGGCAATCAATGTAGCACTGTATGTCTTGAAATTATCAACTCATTTTGCTTCCCCCCCCCGAAAAAAAATTTTTTTTTAAATTTTTCCTTTCTCTATTTTCTTCCTACCGTTTCTCTTTTACAGGCGACATGTTTTCTACCTTCAGCATCACTTGAATGGTAGATATTCTCACAGTGTGACTCAGTCGTCACCTGTAGACAGCCCTGGGGGGACTTTGAGTGACTTGCACCTCATCCCAGAGGGCCCTCACACTTCTCAGGCAATGGAAGTGGATGGACTGAATGACTCTAGCAAGCAAGGCTATTCCCAGGAAACCAAACGCCTGAAGCGGACCCCAGCTCCAGACTCCCTAGGCTTGGAAATGGAGCACAGGTTCATTGATCAAGTATTGTCTACCTGCCGGAACGTAGAGCAAGCCAGGTTTGCCAATGCATACAGGAAGTGGCTGGTTACATTGAGTCAGTGAAAGGGGTGGATTAGTTTTGCAGGGTTCCTCTTTTAGTGCAATATTGCTTTCTTTCTTATTTACACAGTTGCATGAACTGTTTGCTACTATTGGCTAACTATATGTTCTTCATCTTTAGGTTAAAAGTCCATAGTAAACCTTTCATTTTATTTATTTTGTTAAGAACTGGCATTTCTTTGGGGATAAAACAATTGTGTCATTTCCTCCTCTGAACAATGAGTCTTAATGTTTTTCATTTTAATTTCTCATCCTTTACTTTTTCATATATGAGACTTCTCATTTGGTTCTCCTAACTTGTTCACACATTTCCACCCACCTCACTGCAATTGCAAATAGTCTAATTTCTTAAAATTTTCTGTTGTAGTTTAGCTTAAGAACAATACAATATGTAAAATTACTTGATCTGATTGTTGTTTTGAGACTCAGATGGCAAGATGGATGGATAATATGAAAATGCAAACCATTTCTTTTTCTCTAGCATGTTCAACTCAAGTTATAGACCAACATTACCAAAGTTAGAAGTATTGGAATTTATATGAATAACATGGCTCCAATTTAACCCATTTTTAAAATAGTTATTTTTTAAACTAATTTAAAGAGCTTACTTAATAGCAGTGCTGGAAAATTATTTTTATTACTAGTTTTGATAGATTGTTTTTACTCAGATTTGGTATATTCCAGAAACACTAAAGTCAGCCCTTATAAAAATTAAAAAAAAAAAAGCCTGAAATGCCATTTTTAATTATTATTACTTACTTTCTTTCCAAATTCACCATGAAAAGTGAGAGAAATAGGCATAAAAATATATCCATAAAAGTCTTCATTCTAAAAAAATTTTAGTTATTGAGTGTATATTAGGTAAACACAAAAAATTTTTGAAGCAATTATTAAAAAATTACTGGCAAAAGCCAGGGAAAGGAATAGTTTTGAAGAGTTACTCTTCATATTTAGAAACAAAGCAATTAAAAAATTTTTAATACTCAGCTTATCAGGGATGACATACCAAAGTATCCACCTTATAGCTGTATCTTTTCAATAACAAAGGCTGGGGTTTTCTTTGGATGGTGTGCAGAGGTGGGGAAAGAGCCAGGCAAAGTCTGCTTTCTCAGTATATTTCCTTCTTATAAATGATCTGTTTCTTTTTTCCACATACCACTCCCTTTACTTTTCCCAATCATTCCATATTTCTGTTACTTTCACTTTTGTATGTTTTTCCTTTTCTGACTTATGTTTAGGAATGTGTAGTGAAGATATTGTCCCTATTTCCAGTGAACTTTATACCCTATTAAACACACAAACACACACATAAAATATGACTGTGAACTGCTCCTCTGTAAGTTCCCATAATGATGGAAGCTGTTGTTAGAGATGTGTTTGAAATGTGAGTAATAGTGACAGAAGTAAGTGTGGCCACAATACTTTGCTCATTCTCCTTTCTACTTGCTAGGTCCCATTGGGGTGAGGAGACAGATGTGAGGAAAAACAGACCTCTCCTCACTTTGATGGAAACCCTGAACTTGAATTGGGTACATTGCCTTAAGTGAAAAGAATAGGCCCTTAACTTGCATGTCATGATTTTGTTGAGCTGTGCAGTGAGACTTATGAATACCAGGAAATTTGTCAACCCTGTCCCCTGTAGACTTCACTGTTCTCTCTTGAGGTAAAAATTACTTTTTTACACTTTTATACTATTTAGGTAATTACCTTTATGAACATAATTCCATGACTCATGGTGTACACCACATTTTTTAAATCAAATACCTCAAGGTCTAGCTAGACCTCTGTGGATAAAACCATTATAGTTTTATTTTTCAGCATTGTAGGAGTTGAGGTACAGAGGGGTGAGGTGTAAGGGGATATGTGTAACTACCAGAGATGACATGGAAGATTCTGCTTATTCCACTAATACATTTTGCCAAATTTTGGCTTCACTCAGTATTACCTTTTTTCTCAAGCATAGTTTTAAGTATCCCAAATAATGCAGTTTCTTATACTTTGATGGGAGAATTCAGGGCATAACTATAGAAAATACCCTGTGAAATAGCAGCTAACTTTTATAGTACTCTAAACCTTTTTATACCTTCCATAAAGTATCTTGCCCATCTTTGAAGTTAACACTCTTCATGTGTCTTAAGTCTCTAACCCACCCCTTTATGAAGCCATGCAGTCCTTTAGAATATTTTGGTCACTTGTCTGACTATTAAATTACAGATTTATTAGAGGGAGTAGAACTACAAATATCCAGATGATAATTTTGTTATGTGACTTTTGTGTACTACTTTATTTCTGAAATTTGCATCTTTCAGGTGTTCACTCAGAGAAAAGCCTATTTTCATGTATTTTCTAAAGAGTTTGACATCTAAACTATCTAGCTATAACAGCAAGATACTCTCTCTTTGAATGAGTGAGCTCATGCAGTTGATAGAATGTCTGTTTTCCGGGACTTGTTGTCTGCAGTTACCTTCCTATACTTAACATTATAAAAAGAAAAGGTGGTTTATATTGGAACATTTCATCAGACTTTTCACTGGAAGGATAAAAGGCTGTCATAACTATCCTGTGGATCAAGAATACTACTGACAAGCAATAAGATCTGTAAATATCTCCACCCCTTCATATTTTCTTTTTTTTTTTAAGTATACCTATTTTGATAATGTGGAGTTCTCAGATTCTGCTGTGCCTTGCATATTGTGAGGACTCATTATTTATTAAATTAATGAACGACTAACTGAGAAAGGGAGAAGTTCATCATGAATGACGAATAAAATGAGTTATCATTGGGAAATTGACTAGAGCAATGGATTGTGAATGAATGATGTATTCTAGCTTCATAATACTTCAGGGAGGTATTAGATAATAGGGTAAACTAATTTAGATAATTTTCATTTTACTACTATGTTTAAATCTGTTAACTGTAATCTATATAAAAATTCATACAATTAAGGAAGCTCATCTACATTAAGAACACTACTGTCCATTCATGTGTGATGTTGCAGGACATACCTTACCAGCAGAGCTAGAGCCATGTCTGGGCAACTGCAAAATGCTTTGATTTCAAAGACTTGTTCCTGTTCCCCTCCCTAACCTGAACTGTAGTGCTTTAGGTATTTCTTAAACCTGTGTAAGTCATATTTTAAATCTAAGGATTTGACACCTGTTCGTGTCCCCTTTTTGTTTGCTAGGTTTTAGCATTTAATATCCCGTAGGAAACTCTAGGCCCAGACCTTTGGTCATATTTCATATCCTCTGGTGCAGTTTTAATTTAAAGACTGTTATTTATAGGAGTAAATGTATTCAGGTTGTCACTAAAAGTCACTTAAATCTTCAGATGAAAGCTTTTGTGACACAAGATGTAAGAACAAAAGTTCTTGGATTTTTATGTGACAGTTTGTCAGAAAGCTTATGTGGTGTTAGACTTTGTCATTCAGATATATTCAGGTCACGTCAGTTCATACTTGTTGAGAACAGGTATGGGTGTGTGCATGTGCGTGTGCGTGCGCGCGTGTGCATGCACACACAGAACGTTTCATATATAGATGAGAGCAAATAGTCAATCTTTTAAGTTTCTCTTACATAACACAAGATTATATTTGACACAGGAACTAAATAACATTCAGAAATGTAACTGCCACTTACTGTATAACAGTTTAATCTTTACCCTGGTTTCCCTGAAAAATACGATATTAGTAATTTAGTCATAAAAGGAGCTAACATGTAATCTTTTTTCTTATGCTAAAAATCTTTTATAAGCTTATAGTTATTTTTGTTACTAGAAAATTATATTTTAAAACTTTCAGGTATGCTAGAAGTTGTGAACAGCATTATAACTATTGAATCTTTTGCTTTGGAATAAATTTCTCAAATACAGAACTTTGCAAATCCTTGTACTTTACATGCTGCTGCCTCCCCATGCTTGGGTATACTGTGTAAATGTGCTCCTGTTTAATGAAGACGTGTGGAGGTACAGGAAAGTTTAGACAACTCAGTGTCATGAAAGCAGTGAGATTTCTACTTGCCATCGCACAGTGTCTTTAAAAAATAATTATACATGCTGTGTTAATTTGCGTGCCTTTCTTACATTTATGGAAAGCAACATTAGTTTAAGTCTGATATTTAGGTAGAAAACAGACTGGTATTAGTTCATCTTGCATTTTTTTTTTTAAGGATTGATTGAGGCACACAAGAACTAGGGTTTAGGCCAGAGGTGGGGTGGTGGGGGGTGGGAGGGGAGGATGAGAGGATTCACCAGAGACAGAGAAAGGAGCAGAACAGGCAAATCTACTGAAATACACTTTGGAGGGAGCAGCAAGAGAGGTCCAATGCACCATATGGGTCATTTCCCTGGCTGGGAATTGAACCTATGCCGCAGTGATTTTTGACAGCTTGACAACACTGAAACTTAACCCCTGAGCCACCTAGTAGGCCCCTCATTGTATCTGTCACAATTACTAAGCATGGTCCCATGGAGTATTTTATCTTTTTGGTAAAATACTTAAAAGCAGGAAATTTGATTTGCATTTCATTGATTATCCTTTTTAAGCCCCCTACAAAAGTTGATTCTCTCTCTGTGATGACTTTTTGAGATTTACAGCGTCACATGTAAGTAATTAAAGATCAGCCTGAAACCTGTAATAGCTTGTATTCCAAGAGAAACACTGGCACAGTGCCTGAAAGACAGGCTAGATTGTTGTACTCAAAGAGGCCTTTGCCTCACGTTTAGAATTCCCTACTGAATTCAGGTCTACATATAATTGCAAAAGGAGGAAGTTGGAACCATTATCCTTTCCTATATGGGAGGAAAAGAAGTATTAAGATGAAATTTAAATTGGCATTTTAGGTTTTGGGGTCTGGACAGGGAGGGATAGGAATTCCGTATTTCAAGATAGCATATAATTTTTAACTGCAACTTAATAAAAATATATAGCTAAAAATTCCAAAGTGCTTTTCAAGAGAACTGTTGAATAGTATATTCCTAAGTGGCAGCAATACCTTACAGTCACAGTAGAGACAGAAAGCCGTGTGTTTGTTGTGGACCTGGAGTGGAAGGAAACTTAAGGTTTCCATTGTGTATTCTTACCAGGCCAGGTTAACACTGTAAAATCAAACTCCTTGATAAAAAGTTAGAAAGTAGTAGCTTAGTCTGCTGATGAAACCTTGTGCTTCCAAGATTATTAGCTGGATATAGCTTGTGCTTTCTGGACAATTATATGGTCCACAAAGCTAACCCTGTAATTTCTTTCACTAGTCTATTATTCCTCAGGGTGTAGAAGATTTAGTAAAGTTAAAACAAAATTTTATATTCAGTGGCAAAAAATGAAAAGGCCAAATAATGCTAAATGTATTACTAGCTCTTAAAATTTTAGTATAGATAGTATTTTTATAAACCACTCCCTGGGCAGTAGCTTTTAGATGCCCCACGACTGCCTCATCTCACTACTTCAAACCTAGGTGAATGTTCTTTTACACATATCTTCTAAAGGAACCATTTCTGTGTTATTTGCTATATTTGTCAGAGGGAGTTGTTTTAATTGGCACCATTCTTAAATTTTGGAGTTCCTGTTGATGAAAATGATTATTACTGGTTTTCAAATTGATAGCTGCTTTCCTTCTTAAAACGTAGTTACCTTGGAAGAGTATTTTACATGCA